TGTTCATATGAAGAAAGAACTTGAACACCTAATCAACTGTTTTTAAGAATGTTTTCAAATAAAGCCACCGTATGTGGGTGTTCCGAGAAATCATATAAGCGTGGTTAAGTGCATTTGAGTGAGGGTTTTGTTCATATGAAGAAAGAACTTGAACACCTAATCAACTGTTTTTAAGAATGTTTTCAAATAAAGCCACCGTATGTGGGTGTTCCGAGAAATCATATAAGCGTGGTTAAGTGCATTTGAGTGAGGGTTTTGTTCATATGAAGAAAGAACTTGAACACCTAATCAACTGTTTTTAAGAATGTTTTCAAATAAAGCCGCCGTATGTGGGTCTTCCGGGAAACCATAAGCTTGGTTAAGTGCATTTGAGTGAGGTTCTTGAGTGACTGTAAAGAGTCAACTAGACGATTCTACAAGTTTATCAGATTAATAGAATATTTTCCACGCTGTTCAGTACAAAACAAAGAGAATTCATAATGTAAAATAATAAACAGTGTTCTGCAGACAAGGCACTGTCACTGACATAATAAGTGTACTATGAAAGGCACCTGCTTCCTGGTTGCCGGCTCCACAAGTACTTTAACCCTTAAGATCTCAAAATACTCAAAATACAAACAAAAAGAAAAATAAGATCCTAAAAAATTCAAACTTTAAATCCTCCGATATTTCGCGCGTTTATTTMAAGTTAAAGATATGCTTTTTTAGGTTGAACAATGCATGGACAATTTTTTGCTACTTAAAGCRAAGCAATACTACCTGCTACTGGGCACTTTAGAGTTTGACCTTGATTTTTCTCTCTTTCTAAGAGTCGTTGCAGTGTTGATCRAAAGTTTGTGAACTTTGTATGTACATACGCGATGTCTGAGGCGAGCACTGAAGCTCACCATTTTATATTTTGCTTCAACACTTTTAAATTTTCGCTTSAATCCAAGCTGAATGAACATGAAGATCTTGTTGAATTACTTCTTAATAAATTACAAGCTTCCGAATTCATCTAGCATGCTACGTAAGGTAATATTAAAAAATGATATTGGATATTTTACCTCTTTTAGCACAGGAAAATGCCAGTTGTTTKACGGCAATKGGCCTTTGCCACTGACACACTCTCCAATAGATCCTAGGTGAGGAAATATCTGAGGTTTTAGCAATATTTAGCAGACATAATTACCATCACACTGTAGCTAACTGGCATGGCTCATGATAGTAGCGAAACCTGCTTCAAGTTGTGAAGGGTCACTGCCCTAGAGTGGCGATAAAACAGGTGGCCGAGCTAGGCMATAAATCGGTCAAAACTGACACACAAATTAAASTGATAATAYMAAAGAATTCGGTTTTTAGAGCTGCAAAACAAGTGAAAAAGGTAATTTCACACCCTTAAAACGAGTAATTCGTTTTGGACGTTAATCCTTTTGTTAATTCCTCTTTCAGTTCCTTTATTTTGGAGATGAATTAACCCGTGAAATACCAGTGAGTAATGGCTTTTTATGGTACAAAAGCTAACGTTATTAGGTCGTTGTTTTGATAATCWTTTTTTTTTCATTTTTGAATCATATACACTTACAGCTCGCGTAAAAAATACCCTGAGTTTCAAGAACCTGTTTTCATGTTGAGCCCCCTCCACGTATATAGCAGCCTATCAAGCTAGAATCTTAACAGTAGGACTGCTGTGAAAGCGTAAAAAGGCGTGGAAACTGCTAAATAAGATCATAATCTAGCTAAAAATAACTTAGTATTAGTATTAGTAGSATCTTCATTTAAAGAGGGTAGTACTAGATAATGAATAACACGGCTAATAAACTTGTGGCCCTCTAACTGAATACACAAACAACATACATAGAAAAAATATAAATTAAAATTATATTAATCTGTTTATTACTAACTAAGAAAGTACTAATAATAAGTAAATAAAATGTTGTATGATATTGCGTTGATAATAAACATAATATATTTTAATGAAATTCATATTAACATATAAAAGAGTTTTTTTTAAGAAACTTGGTTGCGTAAATTTTCTTTAAGAACCAGTATATAAACAATCCAGGTTGTTATACGCGGGTTTATATATACTGCATGAGTTGTGATTGTGATAAAGTGTTTTTTAGTGTTCTTCAATGATAATGACTATATTTTACTGCCATTATCAAAGGGAAACTTATAGAACCTCAATCTTTATCTAAGGTGTATGGTGTCTGATWAAAAATACTCAGATATCGCTTAGTACTATAAATGGTACTGCTTGCTATGTTTCMCACAAATTAAAGCGAGCTCTTTAAACCCGTGAAATAAAACAAGACTACGTATTAAAGTGTGATAGTCAAATATCACAAAAGAAAACAGTATAATTAGATAAGSTGTATTAGCGCAATATCCATTTCACGGGTTTACAGATCTCACTCTACCAGGGTTAACGCTGTTTGWTTCTATTTAGTTTTTTGTTTTACAATTTAGTTCAAAGTCACAGCCGTTTCGCGGAGCCGCTTTAATTTGCGTACCTTTGAAAGGCATCACAATAATCTTCCTTCTTCTCCTTTTACAGCCTATAAGGTTTCTGTATTCTTTCCTAAACCCTCTATTCATAACCCCATATATGATCGGATTGATCATAGCCGACACATTGCCGAGGAAAGTGTACATTACGTAGACTTGCCGAGGCATTYCCGAATCTCCCGAAACGAAGTTGATGATGTCGATGRTTGAAATGGGTGCCCAACATATCATGAATCCAACTACAGTTAAAAAGAGAGTTCGCGTTGCTTTGATATCTTCAATGCTCGCCCTAGTCGAACAACCGTCTCCTTCTTTCAATTGTTTRATGTTRTTTCGATGCTTTCTAAGTTTCTTGAAAATCAAAMWGTAACAGTTAGAGATCACAACCATTGGAACACTGATGAATACAAATGGAAGAAAAGTTGTCACTGAAAATTGTTTTTCTTGGAAGCAGAATAACTTCCCWGGATGAAAAATGTAGATTTTGCCAGACAGTACGTACGGTAAAGGCTCAATATAAGCCAYCACCCATGTAGATATAATCAATATCTTCGTTCGTGAYGGTGAGAAACACTTTTCATAGTTGTTGGGTCGAACAACTTTAAARTATCGATTGAGTGCTGTCAGAGCCATTGTGAGGAGAGAGGCGCATGCTAAGCTTAGTACAGAATAGCCTTGGAATTGACAAATAAAATGCCCAAGTACCCATCTTCGTTCAACGAGAACAACAATAGATTCCCAGCCAGCACTCAGGAACAAGAGCACGTCTGAAAAAGCAAGTGAGCCGATGAGAAAGTACGTAGAGTTCCTAATCTGACGTTTCTTGTAAACTATCCAAATCACTGCTGAGTTGCCGACTCCTCCAACAACCATCACCGAAAGATAGAAGAAGATTTCTACCACAATTAGTAAAACACTTGTCGATTGTAGATCCTTAAAAAGTTGTTTATCCGACTCGGAGTAGTATGTTAAATTCATAATTTGCCTTTGAATTCCAGGTTTCTTCTTTTCCTAATGTGAGTGTAATAGTTTTTTCTTGATCTAATATGGTTTCTAAAAACCGTTTTTAATTTGTCAGACAGTAAATGTTATTGGATTTTACCAACCGTGTTGATAACGATGCAAACACAGTTGTTTAAATATCCCTGTGATGTTTGTATATATATATGGAAATTCAGAATGTGAAAGAGGACATCCGGCCGAGAAAATAACCTCAAACCAA